ATTTGTAAATTGGGAAACGAGTCTTCTGTCTGTCTGCACCGGTGAGTTGTTCTGTTCTGGTCTTCTGATTACCCGTGGGAGGCTGGACGCAGCTGACTCCCAGGGTCTGTGGCTCTAAGGGGTGAGACGTCACCTGTGAGCTTCTGGTTTTGTTTTGTGTTAGGTGTATGTCTGTTATATGGCTTCTAGTTTTGTTCTGTGTTAAGTGCATGTCTGTTATGTGGCGTTTTGTGTGGTTTGTCGTTCTGATATTTTAATGGGTTTTCAGGAAACAAGTATTTCTATAGCCAGGAATCCTGTTCTAGACATACGCCGGCGTTGGGCTTGGGAGGCTACTCCGACACGACCTCATCCAGGACCCCCGCAGTGGCTACCTAATATTTGTCCCAACGCCTGTTATTCCTGTCAAAAAAGACTATCACTGATATCTAGTGGTAGAGCATATCTACAATACCTGCAACAAAGATTTGGGGTCCGCCTTCAAGTACATGTGTGATTAATTTGTGTTCCTCCCTTTCTGTTAATAGGCTAACGAAATGGGGCAAGCAGCATCCCAAGCAGACTGTGTTAATTGTACCCCTCTTGAATGTTTTTTGAAGAACTTCCAGGATTTTCAGCGAAAAGCTCAACCTTATGGTTTTACTGTTAATTCTTTTGATTTACAGAAATTCTGTGAGCGGGAGTGGCCGACTTTTGGGGTGGGATGGCCACCAGAAGGCAGTTATCAGCGACCCTTGGCTGCCCGGGTGCAGACGATAGTCTATGGGAACCCAGGCCACCCAGATCAAATTCCTTATATTCAGATTTGGAGTGACATACTGGCAGATGATCCCAGGTGGTTACGAAATTGTAAAAAGAGGGCTTATCCACCAAAGGCAGTTATGGTATCAAAGGTGGTAGATGGGCAGAAGGGGAGACAGGCAGAACGCAAGCTGTATCCAGTGCTCACGGAACTTGGGGAGGACCCCCTCCTGCAGGAACCCCCCCCCTTATGTCACTGCTCCCTCTCGAACGCCAAGGGACTCTGATACGGAGCCTCAAAGCTCCACTGACTCAGCTAGCCCGTCACATACTCGCAGTGGTTCCCAATATCAGCTGGCACCCAGCCCCATGTCTAAAGCCCCAATTCTTCCTTTGCGACAGGCACCTATGAGTCCTGGATTAGATCGTCCCCCTTTTATGATTTATGTTCCTTTTTCCACTAGCGATTTGTATAATTGGAAAAACCAAAATCCTTCTTTTTCTGAGAAATCACAGGGGTTGATATCTCTTTTGGAGACAATTTTCTTTACTCATCAGCCGACCTGGGATGACTGCCAGCAGCTTTTGCAGGCTCTCTTCACGTCTGAGGAAAGAGAAAGAATTTGGAGAGAAGCTGCCAAAACAATTCCCGGCCCTGATGGACAGCCAGCTACTGATCCTGTCCGGATAGAACGTGTATTCCCCTCTATGTGCCCTGACTGGGATCCAAATGAGAATGAAGGTAAGGGGGCTCTCGATCAGTATCGCCAGACTCTGCTCCGGGGTATACAGGCAGCGGCTGAAAAGCCCACTAATTTATCTAAGGTAAGCAAGACAGAGCAGGGGCTGAATGAGGCCCCAGTGGTGTTTTTAGAACGCCTCTTTGAAGCTTACTGCCTGTACACCCCTATAGACCCTGAAGCACCTGAGAATAGGTGTGCTATTAATATTGCTTTTGCTACTCAGTCGGCCCCAGATATTAAAAAGTTGCAGAAGTTAGAAGGGTTTAAAGGGAAGTTGCTGTCTGAATTGGTAGAGATTGCCCAGAAGATTTACAACAACCGGGAGGACCCTGGAACTGTGCAATCTAAAAAAAATGGCTAAGATTATGATGGCCGCCATGGACAGACCCCAGAAACCAAGGGAAAGAGTAAGTCAAGAAAGAAAGACTGGGTTGAAAGGTCAAAAGAAAGGGAGAAATGACCTGGGATTGGATCAAGTGCGCCTATTGCAAAAGATATGGACATTGAAGGAAAGACTGCCACCCTCCTGAGGTATGAGCTAAAGGCAGGAAAGAGAACTCTCTCTACTGGGAGAATTAAAGCAATCTTAAAGATTTCACAGCCCCAAACCAAGAAGCAGGTGCGTGAGTTTTGGAGGGGGCCCTGGGATATTGCAGACTCTGGGTCCCCAAGTTTGCTGAGATAGCAAAACCCCTGTATGCTAGCACAGGGGGAAAGGGAGACGCCCTGATTTGGACTGAAAATGAGACTGAAGCCTTCAAGCACCTCAAACAGGTGCTTGTGAGTGCCCCTGCATTAGCCTTGCCCAATTTGACCAAGCCTTTTCAGTTATATGTTGCTAAAACCCGAGGGATAGCTAAAGAGATCCTAACCCAAAACCTAGGACCCTGGAACAGACCGGTTGCATACCTGTCTAAAAGGCTAGACCCTATAGCATCTGGCTGGCCAGGCTGTTTGCAGGCCATTGCTGCAACAGCAGTC